AAGGAAGGAAGGAAGGAAGGAAGGAAGGAAGGAAGGAAGGAAGGAAGGAAGGAGGGAGGGAGGAAAGAGAGAAGGAAAAAAAGATAGATAGAGAACAGCAAACAAGGCAGGGAAAGAGGAATAAATGTACGGAAGGAAAGTAGGTAGGCAAAAGAAATAGAGAAAGGAGGAAGGGGGATGAAGGAAAGGAGGAAGGAAAGATGGACAGAAGGAAGAGAGGGAGGGAAGAGGAAAAAAGCAGAGGGAGGAAGGGAGGATAGAAAGAAGGATAGATAGATGGAAGACAAGAGGGAGGGAAGGAGGGGGAGAAAGGGTTGGGTAGAAGGAAGTGCAAAAGAAAGGATAGAAGGTGAAGGAAATGAATAAGGAAGGAAGGAAGGAAGTAGATAGAAAGAAAGGAGGAGAAGGGGAGGAAGGAAGGATAGAAAGAAGTATAGATAGAAAGAAAGGAGGAGAGGGGGGAGGGAAGGACATGAAGAAAGAAGGAAGGAGAGAAAGAGAGAAGGAAGGAAGGAAGAAGAAAAGATGGGGAAGGAAGGACAGAAAGAAGAATAGATAGATAGATAGATAGATAGATAGATAGATAGATAGATAGGGGGGAGGGAAGGACATGAAGAAAGAAGGAAGGAGAGAAAGAGAGAAAGAAGGAAGGAAGGAAAAAGAAAAGGGGAAGGAAGGATAGAAAGAAGGATAGATAGATAGATAGATAGATAGATAGATAGATAGATAGATAGATAGATGATAGATAGATAGATAGATAGATAGAGGAAGGAAGGAAGGAAGGAAGGAAGGAAGGAAGGAAGGAAGGAAGGAAGGAAGGAAGGAAGGAAGGAAGGAAGGAAGGAAGGGCATGAAGAAAGAAGGAGAGGGGGAAAGAGAGAAGGAAGGAAGGAAAGGAAGGAAGGAACTTGAGGAAGAGAAGAAGGGAAGGGAGGGGAAGGGAAGGAAGGGAATTGAGGAAGAGAAGGGAGGGGAAGGAAGGAATGAGGGGTAGGAGGAAGGACAGATAGGTGGAGGACAAGAGAGAAGGGAAGGAAGAACAGAGGGAGGAATGAAGGAAGAAAGGAAGCCATGAGCTTGTATGCTTTCTCTGTGGCAAGGCTGCCCCCTGCAGGCAGGAAGAGGAAGTAATTATATGAGGATTATTATCCAGTCCACCCCCTTTCTGCCATAAAGGAAGATGGACTATGTTGTTGTTGTTGTTGTTCTTGTTCTTGTTGGAAAAGTTCCTAAAGGCCATCCAGTCCAACCCCCTTCTCCCAGGCAGGAAGATAGACATACACCATCACCACCACCACCACCATCATCGGAAGGGACTCTGAAGGACATCCAGTCCAACCTCTTTCTGTCATAAAGGAAGATAGAATTACTATATTATTATTATTATTATTATTATTATTATTATTATTGGGACCCCTAAAGGCCATCCAGTCCAGCCCCTCTCTCCCAGGCAGGAATATATTATCATTATCATCATCATCATCATCAACATCATCATCATCATCATCATTGGAAGGGACCCCTAAAGGCCATCCAGTCCAACCTCTTTCTCCCAGAAAGGAATATATTATTATTATTATTATCATCATCATCATTGGGAGGGACCCCTAAAGGTCATCCAGTCCAGCCCCTCTCTCCCAGGCAGGAATATATCATCATCATCATCATCATCATTGGAAGGGACCCTTAAAGGCCATCCACTCCAACCCCTTTCTTCCAGGCAGGAATATATCATCATCATTGGAAGGGGACCCCTAAAAGGCCATCCAGTCCAACCTCTTTCTGCCATAACGGAAGATAGAAATACTATATTATTATTATTAGTAGTAGTAGTAGCAGTAGTAGTATTATTGGAAGGGACCCCTAAAGGCCACCCAGTGCACCCCCATTCTGTTGTGCAGGAAGGCACCACCAAAGCCCTCCTGGCAGATGGCCACCCATCATCTGGGATCAATATGGGTGCCTCAGAGAGTCTTTTAGTCTTCGAATTTTTATCAACACGAAGAAACCTGAAACGGAGGAAAATCCTTGATAAGAGACTCTTTTTCTTTCTTTCTCTCTCTCTTTCTCTCCCTTCGGATCTCAAGCTTTTAATATTACGTTTCACAAAGGATAAGATTACTTTTTCTGTATTAGCATTATCATCATTCAGAATAAAATAAGGAGGGGGGGGAGAGAGCGAGAGATCAGTTTCGAATTTAATCGTAGTCTTTTTGTTCCTGCCGAAAGAGAAGAAATTATATATATCTGGAAAAGAGCCAGTTGTTGAAGAGTGTTTAAGGATATCTGGGAGATTAGGATAATGGCAAAGCTGGCACACTCGAGGAAAGGACGGGAGAAAAATATGATTATTTTGAAAAGCGCTTAATTTGATTTTATTTGCAAAGGCGTTTTTGTCTCTTTTCAATACAAAAAAGGCTCTTTCGCTCCGAAGAGGGTTTTTAATATTCATTCGCCTGCGAGAATCAAATCGATTTCTCCCCTATGTTTTGCATCAGGTTTTGCTATATTATTACTATTAACATCTATTATCAATTATTATTATTAATAATATTATTATTTTTGTTATTATTTATTTACATGCATTATTTATTATTTATTATATAGTAACAATATTATTATAATTTATTAACATTATTTATTATTATCATTATTATTTATTAACATTATTATTAACATGGATTTTGTATTTATCATCGTCATCATTATTATTTATTAACATGGATTCTGTATTATTTATTATTGTTATTATATATTATCATTATCATTATTATTTATTAACATGGATAATGTATACTTATTATTCTTTAGTAACAATATTATTATTTATTAACATGGATTCTGTATTTATTGTTATAACTTATTATTTATTTATTTATTAGCATGGATTCCATATTATTTATTATTATTACTTATTATTTATTTATTTATTATTTATTAACATGGATTCTGTATTATTTATTATTGTTATTATATATTATCATCATTATGATTATTTATTAATATGGATAATGTATTATTTATTATTCTTTAGTAACAATATTATTTATTATTATTATTATTATTATTTATTAACATGGATTCTGTATTATTTATTATTTTTATTATATATTATCATTATTATTATGATTATTTATTAACATGGATAATGTATGATTTATTATTCTTTAGTAACAATATTATTATTTATTAACATTATGATTATTATTTATTAAAATGGATTCTGTATTATTTATTATTGTTATAACTTATTATTTATTTATTATTTATTAACATGGATTCTGTATTATTTATTATTGTTTTTATTTATTATTACCATTATTACTAATATTTATAAATATGGATTGTGTGTTATTTACTAATATTATTATCATTTTATTATTATTTATTCACATGGATTATGTATTATTTAACTTAACATGAATTATGTATTATCTATTATTATTTAGTCACAATATTATTATTTATTAGTATTAGTATTATTTATTAACATGGGTTATGTATAATTTATTGTTTCTTTGTAAAATATTACTATTATTTATTAACATGGATTACGTATTTATTATTTGTATAATTATTATTTATTAACATGAATTATTTATTATTTATTAACAATATTGTTATGTTATTGTTCATTATTATTATTTATTAAAAGGAGGGAAACCCAAACCTTGGGAGGAGCGAAAAAGAGAGGTAGGGATAGCAAGCATTAAGGATAAACTGTATAGATCAGGATAAAGGGATCCCCAAAGGCCATCTAGACCGACCCCCATGCAAGAAGGCACAATTCAAACACTCTCAAAAGATGTTTATAGATCTCTATTTATAACGAGAGTCCACTGAACTCTCAGGGAGTCTATATGCAAACAGAATTGGAAGGGGATACCCAAAGGTCATTTAGACTGACTCCAATGCAAGGAGACACAATTCAAACACTCCCAACAGATGTTCATCCAGTCTCTATTTACATAAAGAGTGTCCACCAAACTCTAAGGGGGTCTATATGCAAATGGAGTTGGAAGGGGATCCCTAAAGGTCATCTAGACTGACCCCAATGCAAAAAGACACAATTCAAACACTCCCGACAGATGTTCATCCAGTCTCTATTGACATAAAGAAAGGTCATCTAGACCGACCCCAATGCAAAAAGACACAATTCAAACACTCCCGACAGATGTTCATTGAGTCTCTATTGGCATAAAGGGAGTCCACCAAACTCTAAGGGGGTCTAAATGCAAATAGAGTTAGAAGGGGATCCCCAAAGGTCATTTAGACTGACCCCAATGCAAGGAGACACAATTCAAACACTCTCAACAGATGTTCATTGAGTCTCTATTTACATAACCAAACTCTAAGGGGGTCTATATGCAAATGGAGTTGGAAGGGGATCCCTAAAGGTCATCTATACCGACCCCAATGCAAAAAGACACAATTCAAACACTCCCGACAGATGTTCATTGAGTCTCTATTTACATAAAGAATGTCCACCAAACTCTAAGGGGGTCTAAATGCAAATAGAATTGTAAGGGGTCCCCAAAGGTCATCTAGACCGACCCCAATGCAAGAAGACACGATTCAAACACTCCCAACAGATGTTCATCCAGTCTCTATTGACATAAAGAAAGTCCATCAAACTCTAAGGGGGTCTATATGCAAATAGAGTTGGAAGGGGATCCCCAAAGATCATCTAGACTGACCCCAATGCAAGGAGACATTGAGTCTGAACCACCAAACTCAAAGGACCAGAGAGTCTATTATCTTCAGGGAAGCAGGGGGCGGAGCGAATGCAAATAAGGGGGCGTGGCTACGCTGGGAAGGAGGCGGCCTCTTTGGAGGAGCCTGGGGCGTGGCTTCGCGGGTGACGTCACATTTCTACTCCTGCGCATGCGCCCTTGTGTCCGCAGGCCCGGTTCGAAAGTGAGGTGAGTGAAGCCGAAGGGCCGACTTCTGCAAGACGGGAATAAGTCCCGGGAGCGGGGCGAGCAAGGCAAGAGGCCTACCTCGGTTTCCAAGGCCTGAGGCCTAGTCGGGGGAAGGAGGCGCTGCTAGAGTTGCTGCGTCAGCGGTCCGCCCTCGTCAGGGGGCGGGGCTTGAGCTCTTTCACTTTCTTTTCCGGTGGAGGCGTGGCTTGGGCTCGCCCCTCCCTCTTGGGGGCGTGGCTTGGGCTCTTCACTCATCCCGCTTGGGCTTTTCTGCTCCCCTTAGAGCTCCCTTTAGGAGGCGGGGCTTAGGCTCTCCCTCTTGGGGGCGTGGCTGAAGAGTCATTTCTCACCCCTCCCTCTTGGGGGCGTGGCTTTGGCCTTCCAGCTCCCTTTAGGAGGCGGAGCTTAGGCTCTTCCTTCGCCTCTGCCTCTTGGGGGCGTGGCTTTGGCCTTCCAGCTCCTTTTAAGAGGCGGGGCTTAGGCTCTCCCTCTTGGGGGCGTGGCTGAAGAGTCATTTCTCACCCCTCCCTCTTGGGGGCGTGGCTTTGGCCTTCCAGCTCCTTTTAAGAGGCGGGGCTTAGGCTCTCCCTATTGGGGGCATGGCTTTAGCTCTTCCCTCGCCCCTCCCATTTGGGGGCGTGGCTTGGTCATCCACCGCCCTTTAGAGGCGGGGCTTAGGCTCCTCCCTCGCCTCTCCCTCTTGGGGGCGTGGCTTTGGCCTTCCAGCTCCTTTTAAGAGGCGGGGCTTAGGCTCTCCCTCTTGGGGGCGTGGCTCAAGAGTCATTTCTCACCCCTCCCTCTTGGGGGCGTGGCTTTGGGCATCCACCTCCCTTTAGAGGCGGGGCTTAGGCTCTTCCCTCTCCCCATAGGGGGCGTGGCTTGGAATGAATGAATGAATGAATATATTTATGAATGGGTGTGTTTTTATTATGATAGCAAACAATACAAAAATGCATCAGCTACTGGTCAAAGGGAGACTCCGGTGTTTAACCCTGAAGACCAACAGGACTGAAGACCAACAGGTCGCAGGTTCGAATCTGGGGAGAGCGTGGATGAGCTCCCTCTGTCAGCTCCAGCTACTCATGCGTTGATATGAGAGAAGCCTCCCACAAGGATGGTAGAACATCAAAAACATCCGGGCGTCCCCTAGGCAATGTCCTTGCAGACGGCCAATTCTCTCACACCAGAAGCGACTTGCAGTTTGACACGACAAAAAAAAAACTGGTCAAAGGACATTTAATAGAATACCAAGTCTGCAAACTTTGTGTTTTGTTTGTTTTTAATGCAATACAACTGTTTTGGTTCACTCCTGACATGATAAATAATAAATATTATTGGACTCCTAAATACATTATTGTTGTTTTTAGACTTCTTATGGCTGTTGCCGTCCTGACTTCGTGTTCAGCCCACTAATTTCCTGCGGAGGCGTAGAGTGGTGCTGGAGGGCCAAGAACATGCCCAGAGAGGCCACATTATATTGGAAGTAGGTTTCTTAAAGGGACAATATCATGGCGGAGCGAGGGGCCCACCTCACGGCGGCCTCTGCCCACGAAGACCGGCCCTCCATCTTCGAGGTGGTCGCCCAGGACAGCCTCATGTCTGCCCTCAGGCCAGCACTCCAGCATGCGGTCAAGGTGAGGCCATCCAGTCCAGCCCCTTCTGCCAGGAAGGAAGATAGAGTTACTATTATTATTATTATTATTCTGCCAAGAAGGAAGATAGTTGTTGTTGTTGTTCTTATTATTATTTGAAACAGAACAAGATGAGTCCACAGCAGACAAGATCACTCTGCTGGCTGTTGTATTGAATCACACATCGGACCCTTCCCAACTGTCTAGGACTGTGTGATGTATCGGCGAATAATGTGTGCAAATCCCAGTAAGGTGGCCTTCTCAGCTGACAGATATTAATTTTGTCAGCACCGATTGTGTTTAAGTGCAGGCCAAGGTCTTTAGGCACTGCACCCAGTGTGCTGATCACCACTGGGGCAACCTTGACCAAATTATTATTATTATTATTATTATTATTATTCCAGTGTTGGAAGGGACCCCTAAAGACCATCCAGTCCACCCCCCTTCTGCCAGGAAGGAAGATGGAGTTACCATTATATCATTATGCATTATTATTATTATTATTATTCCAGAGTTGGAAGGACCCCTAAAGGCCATCCAGTCCACCCGCCAGGAAGATCAAATTACTACAGTATATTATTATTAGACACATTGTTTGAAGGGACCTGAGAATTTAGTCCAACCCCCTGTATTTACATATAGCCGTATCTATCCATCCATCCATCCATCATATCCTAGAGCTGGTGGAGACACAATGTATGTCTGTATCCATCTATCTATTAATCTATAGATACGACCCTCATGGGCCATCCAGGCCAACCCTCTGTATGAGTGGATGTAGCCCTATCTCTCTCTCTCTCTTCATCCATCCATTATATTTTAGAGCTGGAGGAGACTGTATATATGTATGTACCATGTCCTAGAGTTAGAAGGGAGCCCCAAGGACCACCCAGTCCAACTCCTGTATGTATGTGTGTATATAGCTCTATCTACCTATTTATCCATGCATCTATTTATCTATCATATATATGAGTTGGAAGGGACCCCCAAAGGCCATTCAGTCCAACCCCTATATGTTTGTGTACATATAGCTCTATCTATCTATCATATCCTAGAGTTGGAAGAGACTATATATCATGTCCTACACTATATCTATTTGTCTATCTATCTATCTATCTATCTATCTATCATAGCCAGAGCTGGAAGGATTCCCAAGGGTCATGCAGTCCAACCCCTGGATGTGTGTGTGTGTGTATATATATACAATAGGTGTCTATCTACCTATTGTATCTTAGAGCTGGAAGAGACTCTTGGCTGATGTTTGGCTTGAGGTCCACCAGGACTCCTATCCCCTTTTCTAATGGCTCTGTGTCCATGTGCCAGTGGGACTTCTCATTGATTTACCTCCCTTGCCTTTCACGGCAGGTGCTGTCGGACTCGAACCCGGAGCGCTGGGGCTGGCTGTGGCGCGGCTTTGACGAGGCCTTTGCGCTGCTGGAGCTCCTCCTGCAGCACCACTTCCTCTCCCGCCATGGGGGCTCCTTCGCAGAGAACTTCTACGGCTTGAAGAGGATCGGCGTGGATGATGGCCGCTCCCGTGGCCTGCCTGCCGGGCTGCGGTTGCGCTCGCTGTGCCTGCTGGTGGTGGCGCCCTACCTGGGGGCCAAGCTGGGGCGGCTGGTGGGGCGTCTGCGGGAGGAGCAGGACTACGCCATCCACCCGCCCTCCTCGCTCCGGGGGCGCCTCTGCCGGGCCGCCCTGGCCACGTATCCCTTTGCTGCCCTGGCCTGGGAGGCCTGGGTCCTGGCCCAGCAGATGGGCTATCTCCTCGGCAAGGCCCAGCACCACTCCCCGCTCCTCCGCATGGCCGGTGTACGCCTCGTCCGCATGACCACACAGGACTGGCAGCAGGACAGCAGCGTGAGGAAGTCCAGCAGGTGAGTCCCAACGGGAAGAGGAGGGAGGCTGTTGTAATGCTGTATTACTAACAAATGGCGTGGGCCTACCTATCCAGTCCAGCTCTATCTATCTATCTATCTATCTATCTATCTATCTATCTATCTATCTATCTATCTATCTATCTATCTATCTATCTATCTTATCCTAGAGCTGGAAGAGATACTATCTAAGTATCTATCTATCAATCATATACTAGAGTTGGAAGAAACTCTTATACTTGTATCTGTCTGTCCACCTGCTTGTTTTCTCCCTTCCCTAGCCCAGAGAAGGCCTACTTTCCCCCATACTGCAGCTCTTAGAAGGCCTGCTTTCTCCCATCCCCGGCTCACTTTCTCCAGCCCTGAGAATGCCTATTTCCTCCCTTCTCCAGCTCCAAGGTGTACTTTCCCCCTTGCTTCAGCTATGAGAAGGCCTACGTTCTCCCCCAGCCATGAGACTTAATTTCTCCCTTCTCTAGCACACTTTCCCCAGCTGCCAGGCCTGCTTTCCTCCTTCCCCAGCTCCATGTCTACTTTCTCCCTTATTCCAGCTCTGAGAATGCTCACTTTCTCTTTCTTCCCCCACTCAATTTAACCAGCTCTGAGAAGGTCTACTTTCTCCCCTCTGCAACTCAAGGAGGCCTACTTTCCCCCTTCCCCAGCTCCGAGGCCTACTTTCTCCCTTCTCCAGCTCACAGGTCTACTTTCCCCCTTACTGCAGTTATGAGAAGGCCTGCGTTCTCCCCCCAGCCATGAGGCTTAATCTCTCCCTTCTCCAACTCACTTTCCCCAGCTGCCAGAAAGCCTGCTTTCCTCCTTCCCCAGCTCCATGAGGTCTATTTTCTCCCCTGTCGTGCTCCCTTATTCCAGCTCTGAGAATGCTCACTTTCTCTCTTCTCCCACTCACTTTCACCAACTCTGAGAAGGCCTACTTTCTCCCCTCTGCAACTCAAGGCCTACTTTCCCCCTTCTCCAGCTGCAAGGAGGCCTACTTTCTTGCTTCTCCAGCTCACTTTCTTCAGCCCTACGAAGGCCTACTTTCTCTCTTCCTCAGCTCACTTTGACCCTTCCCCAGTTCACTTTCCCCAACCCTGAAAAGGCCTGCTTTCTCCCTTCTCCAGCTCCGAGGTCTATGTTCCCCTTCACTCCCAGCTCTGAGACCTACTTTGTCACTTTTATCAGCTCCAAGAGTCCAGCTTTATCCCTTCCCCAGCTCTGAGGCCTACTTTCTCCATCTCTGAGAAAGCCTACTGTCTCCCTAGTCCAGCTCACTTTCTCCAACTCTGAGAAGGCCTATTTTGTGACACCTTTCACTCCAAGAAACCTACTTTCTCTCTTGTTCAGCTCTGATGCCTACTTTCCCCCTTCTCCACCTGACAAGGCTTACCTTACTATGTCTAGCTTTCATCCACCCACATGTCCCTGTGACGTCAACCCAGAGGGTCACTTCACCTAACAACAAACATAGCTACTTTGATTTCTGTGTATATATAGAACACACACGGGCCAACTTCGGCCCTCCCTCCAGGCGTTTAGGACTCCAACTCCCACAATTCCTAACAGCCTACCGGCTGTTAGGAATTGTGGGAGTTGGAGTCCTAAACGCCTGGAGGGAAGGCCGAAGTTGGCCCATGCCTGCTCTGGATTGATTAACGGCCATTCTGTTGTTTCCTCCTCTTCCTTGCAGCCTGTCCCTCTGGCTCTCCACGGGCCTCTCGGTCGGGGTCTTCTTCCTCCAGTTCCTGGAGTGGTGGCACTCCCCTGAGAACCAGGAGTCCCTCCGGAGCTTGACCGCCCTCCCTCCGCCCCCACCGCCCCTCCACCTGGACCTGGACTCCCCTCCCTCGATGCTGCCAGCCCTCCGGACGCTCTGCCCACTCTGCCGCAAGGTCCGGGCCAACGAGGCCGCCCTCTCCACCTCTGGCTTTGTCTTCTGCTACCGCTGCGCTCATGCTTACCTGAAGGCCCACCAACGCTGCCCCATCACCGGGTACCCGTCCCACACCCGGCACCTGGTCAAGCTCTACGCCAAGGAGGAGCGCTGAGGGCCACCTGCCTTCCATCACTTCCTCAGGAAGCCTTCAAACTTGGAAAAGGAACTTCTTTGGGGCTTCCATCTTGGGAGTTGGACCCTGACACTGGTCCCAAGGAGTTGTGGGATTCCATGACTTCCCTCCCAAACAATCGTGGCATTCCATTACTTCCTTCAGCAGTCTCCCAAGAGTTATGGGATTCCGTACTTTCCTTCAGAAACTTTCAGACTTTGAAAAGGAACTTCTTGGGGGTTGCCATCTTGGGAATTGAACCCTAACATGGGACCCAAGGAGTTATGGGATTCCATGACTTCCCTTCCAAACAATCGTGCCATTCTATCATTTCCTTCAGAAGTCTCCCAAGAGTTTTGGAATTCTGTAAGTTCCTTCAGAAGCCTACCAAAGAGTTATGGGGTTCCATCACTACCTTCAATGGTCTCCCAAGAGTTATGGCATTCCATAAAATCCTCCGGAGGTTTTCCAAGAGTTATGAGATTCCTTTTAAGGTCTCCCAATTCCATAACTTCTCTCCCAAACAATCATGGCATTCCATCACTCCCTTCAGCAGTCTCCCAAGAGTTATGGGGTTCTGTAAGTTCCTTCAGAAGCCTTCAGAACTTCTTTCAGGCTGCCATCTTGTCCCAAAGAGTTATAGGATTCCATGACTTCCTCCAAGCTGGGAATAGGAACTTCCTTTGGGCTCCTGCCTTGGAGTAGGCTCTTTTCCTTGGACCCTCACATTTCTCCCAAACAGTCATGGAATTCCATCACTTCCTTCTGAAGTCTCTTAAAGAGTTATGGGGTTCCATCACATCCTTCTGAAGTTTCCCTAATGTTATGGGATATCCTAGGAGGCCTCCCAAGAGTTACGGGATGCCAACACATCCTTCTGAAGTCTCCCAAGATTTATAGGATTGCATTACTTCCTTTGGAAGGCTCCCAAAGAGTTAAGGGGGTCCATAACTACCTTCAGAAGTCTCCCAAGAATTATGGGGTTCCACCACTTCCTTTAGAACCCTCCCAAGAGTTACGGGATTCCATAAGTTCCTTCAGAAGCCTTCAGAATTGGGTATGGAACCTCTCCCACACAGTTATGGGATGCCATAACATCCTTCAGAAGTATCCCAAGACTTATGGGATTCCATAAGTTCTTTCAGAAGGTTTCAAGCTTGGAAAAGGAAGTGAACCTTCACTCATTTCACCCCAACTATCATGGCATTCCATCACTTCCTTCTGAAGTCTCCCAAGAGTTCTGGGATTCCATAATAGCCTTCAAAAGTTTCTCAAAAGTTATGGGGTTCCAGCACTTCAAAGGTCTGCCAAGATTATGGGATTCTATCACTTCTTTCTGAAGTCTCCCAAAGAGTTATGGGATGATGGGAGATGTAGTCCAAACATTCTTATCTTAATGTCTAGCCTCAGTGTGAACTCAGGGATCAGCCAGTTGCTCTCTTTTTTATGAGGTTTTGTTTGTCTTCTACTGAATTACTTTTGGAGAGGACTACGCTTCCAATAATCCACACTAGCTGGGGGATACTGGGAGTTGAGGTTCCTCAAGGGGATCCTTTCAAGCTATAGTAATACTATTTGCAAATGATGGAAATACCCATTAACCCAGAAGTATAGACGAGCCACCCCAATCAAATAAATAAAGTGTATTATTATTATTAATCCGGGATGCTCCCAAAAGGGGCTGAGAGTGTGTACAACCTGTACAAATTTTGTCCCATTAAAAATAATGTGAAACCAATCACCTTCAGTGCTTTGTGTGCATGAATTTCCTGGCTGGAGGATGCTGGGAATTGTAGTCCACGCCCTGGTGCCATTTATTAATTAAGGTGAATCCTTTAAAACCAATGGGAATGTGAGGCATTAATTGGGAAAGCATCTTCCCTGGATTCGAGGGCTGGGGTGGAGGCCATCCACAAGTTACTTTTTAGTTACCTTTATTGTTTCTTTTCCAACATTACTTTTCAAGTTACTTTTCCAAATTACTGTCAAGTTGCTTTCCAAGCTACTTTTCCAAGTTAGTTAGTTACCTTTATTGTGACTTTTCCAACATTATGTTTCAAGTTACTTTTTAATTACCTTTATTGTTACTTTTCCAACAGTACTTTTCAACTTACTTTTCCAAATTAGTGTCAAGTTATTTTCCCATTACTTTTCCAAGGGCCGATCTTCAAGGACCAACCTGCAAAATATGAAAAAAATGAAGAGTGGTGACTGTTCAAATTTATAATTTAGGAATAAGCGAGTAAATATGGAAAGCCTTAATCACATGGTATGCCTTAAATAGGAAAAAGCGAAGGCTTAATCAAACACAATATTTAAAATGGGAAAGCTTGATAGATGCTATGTTTTAATCCCATTCAATGGGAGAAATGGGAAGTGACAAAGAGTTTCATCTATGCTGATGATTGTGCCATCACCACCCAAGCAGTGAGCTTTGAAATGCTTGAACAGAAGCTCTCCAAAGCTCTAGGTGCTCTTACTGCCTATTACAGGGAAAACCAGCTGATTCCTAATCCATTTAAAACACAGACATGTGCTTTTCAACTTAAGAACAGACAAGCATCCCAAGCTCTGAGGATTACCTGGGAAGGAATCCCACTGGAGCACTGCAGCACACCCAAATACCTGGGAGTCACTCTGGACCATGCTCTGACTTACGAAGCACTGCCTGAACATCAAGCAAAAAGTGGGTGCTAAAAACAATATCATAGAAAGCTGACTGGCACAACCTGGGGATCACAACCAGACACAGTGAAGACATCTGCCCTTGCGCTGTGCTACTCTGCTGCTGAGTATGCATGCCCAGTGTGGAACACATCTCACCACACTAAAACAGTGGATGTGGCTCTTAATGAGACATGCCGCATTATCACGGGGTGTCTGCGCCCCACACCACTGGAGAAATTACACTGCTTAGCCGGTATTGCACCACCTGACATCCGCCGGGAAGTAGCAGCCAATAGTGAAAGGACCAAGGCAGAGACATCTCCAGCTCATCCCCTGTTTGGGTATCAGCCAGCACGTCAACGACTTAAATCAAGACATAGTTTTCTTAGATCTACAGAGACACTCGCTGGAACACCTCAGCAAGTGAGAGTCCAAAAGTGGCAGGCTCAAACCCATGGCTGAGACCGGATGAGAGACTCCCTCCTGGGCACACAGACTTGGAAGGCGCTGAACAAGCTGTGATCTGGCACCATGAGATGCAGAACCAACCTTAAGAAATGGGGCCACATAGTGGAGTCCATGACATGCAAGTGCAGAGAAGAGCAAGCCACAGACCACCTACTGCAATGCAGCCTGAGCCTTGCCACATGCACAATGGAAGACCTTCGTATAGCAACACCAGAGGCACTCCAAGTGGCCAGCGACTGGTCAAAGGACATTTAGTATAATGCCAAGTTTTTAAACTTTGTGTTTTTAAATACATTTCAACTGTACCCTCAATTTGCTTCTAACACAATAAAAAAATCAGATGCATTTGATTAAATGCTTCATATTTCCCACTGAAGGCTGACCAAGGCTATTCCTGAAATTGGAGGCTCTGCTTTCAGTGGGAGGAATGGGGCAGTTTTGATGGAAAAATCGACACACTAGACCAGCATTTCTCAACCTGGGGGTTGGGACCCCTGGAGGGGTCACGAGGGGGTGTCAGAGGGGTCAACAAAGACCATCAGAAAACACTATATTCTGTTAGTGATGGGGATTCTGTGTGGGAAGTTTGGTGCAATTCTATTTTTGTTGAGGTTCTGAATGCTCTTTGGTTGTAGGTAAACTATAAATCCCAGCAACTACAATTCCAAATGTCAAGGTCTATTCCCCCCAAACTCCACCAGTGTTTACATTTGGGCATATTGAGTATTTGTGCCAAGTTTGGCCCAGATCCATCATTGTTTGAGTCTACAGTGCTATCTGGACGTAGGTGAACTACAACTCTAAAACTCAAGGTCAATGCCCACCAAACTCTTCTAGTATTTTCTGTCGGTCTTGGGAGTTCTGAGTGCTAAGATTGTTTCAATTCCATCATTGGTGGAGTTCAGAATGCTCCTTGATTGTAGGTGAACTATAAATCCCAGCAACTACAACTCCCAAATCACAAAAATAACCTACAACTCCCAAATGCCAAATTTGGTCCAGTGGATGAAAATACATCCCGCATATCAGATATCTACATTATGACTTGTAACAGTAGCAAAATTACAGTTATGAAGTAGCAACAAAAATAATGTTGTGATTGGGAGGTCACCACAACATGGGGAAATGTATTAAGGGGTCACGGGATTAGGAAGGTTGAGAACCACTGCACTAGGCCTTCAAAATGGCTCAGAGAGAAGATTTAATGGGATCATCTCTTGGTCAAGAGCCCAAACCGTGGTTCCGGCTATACCAAGTCAGGCTATACTTCGCTCATCATTGCCTTCGGGGCGTCTACACTGGGGAATGAATGCGGTTCAGTCCCACTTTTGCAAAGTTGATGTCCTGCTATAGCAAAATATATTATTATTATTATCATTATTATTACACTATGTAACACGCTCATGGCCAGAATCACTGGGTTGCTGTGAGGATTCCCCCAGGCAGGAAGCAGCCAGGCTTTGAAGCTGCAAGACCATTTAATGCTAATCAAGGTAGCCAATGGCAACATTCACACTTGTCTCAAGCAGACAAGAGTCCTTTCTCCCACATCCCAAGAAAGGATTCAGCCAGGCTTTGAAGCTGCAAGGCCATTCAATGCTAATCAAGCTGGCCAGTGGCAACATTCATTGTTCTTTCTCCCACCCTGGACATTATTGCACAAATTTGCCTTGTTTCCAACAGGCCTCACAAACTCTGAGGATGCCTGCCATAGATGGAGGCGAAACGTCAGGAGACAGTGCTTCTGCAATAGGGCCAGGCAGCCCAGAAAACTCACAACAACCCAGTGATTCCGGCCATGAAAGGCTTCGAGTTTAAACCATTTAGATATTTAATATACAAATCACAATATATATATATATATTTCCTGCGACATTCTTCACATTTTTCAGGAGCTGCTTCTACACAAGATCTTACCTTGCCGCCATCTTGCTTCCGGGCAAAGAAATGAGGCCGGGAAAGCCTCTTGCGCATGTCTCTTCCATCTCGACCAATCACAGTTCTCTCTGCCTCAGTGACGTCGCGCAGCCAGCGCCCAATCATCACCCGCCTTGGAGAACCAAAGAGGGAAGGTTAAGAAGCGGTGGTCCACGTGAGCTACACTTCCGGAAAAAAGCAGTTAAAGCCTGGGAGCAGCAGATCACAACTATATATTTAGTTAGTTTATTTATTTATTAATAATAAAAAATATATGATTATTTAATAAATAAATATTAATAATAACATTCATTAACATTAAATAATAATAATAATAATAATAAATATCATTTATATTTATTTATATAACAATATTTGTTAATATTAATAAATATTAATTATAATAAATATCATTAATAATAATAATATTTATTCTTATTAGTTTATTATCTTTATTCTTATTAGTTTATTA